CAGTTAAGCAGTATTACTGAAAAGAGTGAATAATTGCCTTTATAGATGTTATTTATAAATCTACTGTTTAGTTTCTTTTTTTGTTGTCTGTGAAGCCAAACGTTAAGAGCAACATTACTTGAATTTGATTAAAAAGAAAGTCCATGGAGTCAGGGATCCTCCTATTCTCAATTAAGTATCTGTTTTCATTTTGTGGGTAAAAGCCCATGAAAGTATTTAACTTAAGAGCTTCGTGTTTGCAATTGGCAAATGGAGGGAAGGGTGCATCAGATTTCTGTACACGTTGCCAGCAGTACACATCCTTTTCCCATTTCCCATGCACATCAGGTATATGTGTTTGTGAAGCAAGGTAGTCATGGACCATGCTCCGACATGTAATTGACATTTTTGGGGATAAGAGCACAAATTATTGATGAACGTGGCCAATAGGTTTCTGAGATATACAGCGGTACTTAGGCACCTCTATCCATTACGTCACATGTGTGCCAGTGAACCGTGATGGGAGCTGGGTAATGCAGTGATTTACTGTTGAGGAAATGAACTTTAGTGGATCCATGCATCACAATTTCTGTTTTGGTTATGGGCACAAGCTGTTTTCACAGCATAGATAAATTGCAAGCAGGATAGAATATGTGTTGAATAAATCGAGCCTGATGTATTTGAAAGGGAAAGGAATTATGAAATGAGTCTGAATGAATGTGGGTTACAAGAAAAGATAAGATGTAAAAATGGAATATTAGACTGTTCATGGGGGAAAGAAATTCAAAAAGTCATTCACATTTCAAATCAAATTAAAAATGATCCCATGAAAAATGATACCTACACTTTATGAGATCATTATATGAGAGTTTTACAACTCAATTTATCTAAATATTCTAATTTGTATCAATTCGTTTTAATCCATTCCATTATATGTGTAACTAAGTTACATAAGTACATTTAGAATATTACTGATGATTCAATGCCATATCGACTCCTTAAGTGGCAAACAAGATTACCTGTAATGCTAGCAAATGTCCTGTACCACATCCACATGTATTCATATCCCAATAGAGGTGGTATTCTGGACTTTACTTCATATACTCTCCATTTCTATTGCCAGAATGACATAAGTAATAGATTTTATATTTTAACAAATGTTGTTATTATTTCATCTGTTGAGAGCCAGAATGGATTTAAATCATATCATTGCAATACCCAGAGGTTAATAAAGTGAAACCTGTATATAAAGACCGCTCAAGGGAAACATGAAAAGTAGCCTTTACAGGCAGGTGGTCAGTATGTACAGGTTCCTTTAAGACAGGTTTCAATGAGAAGCCATATGAAAGGGAAACAAATAATTTGGACTTTATAGACAGGTGGTCTTTCTACTAATGTATATACAGGTGGTTGCTAAAGGAGGTTTGACTGCACATGCATGCCTTTACTGAGGGAATTTTGAAGCTTAAAGAAGACCTGACTATAGATTAATTATTAGTTTTTTTTTCTCCAACTGGTCCACTTGCTTGTATATATGGTTCGACGCAATAGTGCATGACCTGGGATTAGGCTTAAGTATATAGCTGCAGATTCTTTAGGAAACAGTTAATATAGGTACATGTATGTTCCTATCAAATTGTATATTATAATTTGCATCCTGCTGGTCAAGAGACATTTCTTTGAAGTTTAGGTCTTCTTGCCCATGCCATAAATGAACCTGAAGCACGGTTACAAACCATTCATGACTCGAACCTTTCCTGGTACTTGTCTCTGAAGTGCATATCACTTGGCACATAGCACTGTGGTAATGCTGATCGTATGTATGCAGGTTGAGTGATAGGGGACTATGTCCTTCACCATTGCGCAGGATTAGCTAGAAATAGGAGGATCAATAAGACTGCTCAACGCCACATATCCAGATCAATACAGGAATTTCATTAGGCTATGCTCACCCATCTCATAGTCCTGCCATAGCAGAGTATAGCTAACCAGGGAGCCAGCAGCTAGCTAGCTCTAGACTGAAACCCATTTAGGAGGTCATGCATATCAAATGATACAGGCTTGGTTTCATTTCTCATTGATCGCGGCACATGAACAACATAACCAGTTTGCGATTTTTCAAGATGTGTACTTCTGCGAGGGGTCAAAAAGTCGCAGCAGTGGAGGAATTCCTGGTTAGAAATGAGGACAAGTATGTTGTATGATAAGGAAGAAGTTTTCATGCTAACTAAAAAGGCAAAGGGTTTTAATCCATTCAGAATCTTACATTTTAAGAATTTACATTCATCCAGAATTTCAGTTTAAGCATGAATGAGAATGACATATAATAATGTATTACAGGTACTTATAGTAACATTGTGATGGTTGATTTCACAAATCTGTTGAATCAGGATGCAAAGCACGTAAAATTATGTTTGTATGTATGGAATATCCAACTACGATGCCCCAAATCCGCAATTAATTCTCGCTACCCCAAATAGCGATTCTGCCGAGATCCGGGGAAAATCCTGAAAACGCGCATTGCATTATGGGATAGCTTTTCGACATTACAGCTTCCTGTGCAGGCGCGCGATAGCGCAAACGTAAAACGCCGTAACCACACAACGTGTATGCACCGAATATGTCGTCTGCTCGGTCTTGTTTTTTTTTCGCAAATATTTCAACGTTTATTTGAACATTTCATTCGTTGTTTTTTGCGTCTTTTGACATCAGTGACGATGGTTTTCTTTTGTGAGGCTGCACAGTGCTGGGCTCATGATTCCAAGCGTAAGAACCCTGAAAAATGGGGGTGGATGAAGGCCGTGACTTGGGATGGGACTCTATACCGGAAGTTGTAGTGACGACCCGAGAGAGTGAAAATTACCTCGTCTCGCGAATTTCGAGATTTTCGTTCCTATTTAGGGTAGCGAGAATTCACGCAATATGAAGATTTTTAACAAAGTTCAACGGGTTTTCGAACGGGCCTCGATGTGCGGCGCTTCTGAATCTAAATTCTCTCAACCATTTTTGAATTTTCCCAACCTTTTTCCATGAAAAAAAGACATAAAAACAGGCTATAAAAAATCTGTCAACACTTAAATGTCTGGAATAGAATGTAGAGCCATTTTATTGCTTTGTGAGATTTCCATTCACGTAAAATGTAATTAAATTGTAATAATATAGTTGGGAGAATTAAGGAATCGATCGGATCAATTTTTCCCAATTTGTACCATGCATAATGGTCCGTTTTCACTCAAATTTTCAGATTATCTTTAATTGTACATCTAGCATTGAAGTCACTACCTTAGCACCACTATCTCTCATCTGAACAATGTTACAAAGTCCCTTTAAGTTAAAATGTAATGTTTCTTATAATTTTCATCCATCCTTTTTTCTCATTAAAAAAAGCTGGAATTAAAGATACAATTTTTTGAATAATGAATAAAATGTTTACACGTAGGATTTTTCACTGAATAGATACTTACATGTAGTTACCATAGTAACCAGTATCACTTAATACTTTGATATTGGATTTAAGTGGCATGTCTATCTATAAGTGATACAGGTATCAACCACATAACACATTGGGTAAAGAGCACGGCATGCCCCTGGGTATAAGGTTGCACCGTGCACCATCATCATCATCATCATCCCTACTACGATCCAATGTCACAACACTCACTGTGCCATCATCACCTTGCCCACTGCGTGCTTCTATTGACTGCAGGTTTTTAATTAGTAACCTTTAGCATTTCATTTCAAATCAAATTTATCTCTCATCACTCTGTCTTGTCTTGCTTTATTACCCCCCCCCCCTCCTTATCTTGCTCTCTGTGTGGTCTTCCTACCAGTCTCCTCTACACCTATTTAGTATAGGGAGATGTAAATTATGTATGATGAAAGAATAAATTGGGATTTTTAGAAATGTAAGTTGGCAATTTGCATTAAGAAATGGTTTCTCTAAATTTTCTGTTTAACTTCTGTAAACTTGAAATATCAATAAAAGTTCGAGAATAAGAGAAAGATTTGCTGTGGCTATAGTTACAAAATGATTTCAATCTATTTATTCAAAAAAGCATACATGAGTTAAGGGATGATTGTGATTTGGTAGGGATCATGTATTCACTTGCGATATTGTTTAATACACAAGAATACTCATTACATTAACGCTCGTATAAGTTGGTATTAAAAATAACTGTGATTATGCAATCATTCACAATGTGGAGGGTTCTTGGAAAAAAGTGACTTTTCTTGCCAGCTACTCATTTGCCAAATCAATTACCTACATACAGCAAAGCAAGAGTCGATACTGCGTCTATCTCCTTTATTGCATGTAGAGTCTTCAAGATGTATAATTATCAGATTAGTCTTTAAGTACTAACTTAATTGGAATTCTCCTGTGGAAAGCAAATTAGCTTGAGCAAAGAACTATACATAGCACTTGTATCCTTCCTTGACTCTGTAAGTGAGTTTGCCCTGAAGATATATGCGCATATATCTCCCTAATGACAATTTTATCAGCAGTATGCTGTATGTTCTTTTTTAGTCAAGAGTCTGTATTCGGAGACTATAATGCTTTCTGCTATCCACAGCTCAATAATGCAGGAGGCTATCTCATTACTTTCAGTCATCTTGAATGACATCTGAGACAATTAGCACGCCTTTAAAGTATCATTCCCTGAGGATTCAGAGATATAATTTGAGCTTTTCATGATTTATTGAAAAAATATATTCTCTGCAGATTTACATGTATGTGTGAAAGAAATGTATAGCGCCTAATGTATGTGTATATTGTAATATGTCTGTCTCAAATTTACAGTCTTCTTTACATCCATTTTGAGAGAAAAAGTGCTAGTTTTGTTTAGCAGGTTATATGTTGTTCAAATGTTGTACTAATATGTGAGGTTTTACATACAGATAGACCTACATGTACATTGTATGGTGCTGCATATTCTATATTATGCACACACTTGAAAATATTTGAAATAACAGTGTAGGTGACAAAAACTTTAATGTCTTTCTTTGTTATTGTTTCACCCTAGCATTTCCTACGGACAATAAGGGAGCTGAAGGAGCAACTGCAGCATCGGGAACACAACCTACGACACTCGCCCAATGGGGACGTTACAAACGGTGGCTCCTCCTCACAGGGGACAGTCGGCCACCTGCAGCATGAGGTGGACAGTCTTAGGACAGAGAGGGACAGGGTCTCCAGGGAGGTGTTCCTCCTCCGCAAGACCCTGGAAGAGATGGAGCTGAGGATCGAGACCCAGAAGCAGACTCTGACGGCCAGGGACGAAAGCATCAAGAAGCTGCTGGAGATGCTCCAGAGTAAAGGGTTAAACACCAAGAAGCTGGAAGGAGACCAGGAGGACATGGACAGGATGCGATCCAAGGTGGTGGAATCAGAGACGAGGGTCATCAAGCTTCAGAAGCTCCTGGAGCAGAGGGACAAGGAGATGGGCAGTTTCATGAATGTAAGCTTCTCTATGTTTGGTGGAAATTAAGTTGACAGTGTCTAAGTTGATGTTGTCTGAAAACTATGAGGTGTAGTTCAGTCGGTGATATCCTAACAATAAACGGGATTGGTTTTCAGTTGAGTTGATGGTGTATAAATTCTAGGCTTGTTGCAATCGAGTTTATGGTGTTTATAAACTAGATTTGGTAACGATTGATTTGATGGTGTCTAGAAACTAGAATAAGATGCGAATGAGTAGGTGATGCCCCAAAACTGTCTGATAGAGTTCAGAGCATATACATGTAACTTGTATTAATACTGCGCCATCATCAACTTTGGTAATAGGCAAATTGTACCTACTTGTACATGATACAGTATTTAGGTAAAATATGCTTATTGCTTTTCAGTTCTATATCCTCGAGCCATTTCTCCCGTTATATTTCCTATTAAGAAATGTCAAATGCTCTCTGTCCAGGGGTAGAGTCTTCAGCAAATTACTCCATTAGTAATTCAAACATATGTGGCAGCACATGATATGAAGCCTGTGGAAAGGTGCCTGAGCAATCTCCACCGTGTGGAGTTTCAATTGGCCTCAGGCATTGAGAAGAAATATAATGTGTCGTCCGCATAATTCAGTTATTACACCCAGGATGCACTAAAGCAAGCTGATTTTAAAGTGCCCTTTTGTGTGCATCTTTTATGGGAGGCAACTTCTCTGGGGACTTCTCAGACGATAAATGGAGAAGGTCGAGGATGAAAGAGAAGACTTGAAAGCCGAAAGAGCAAGAAAGAGATAGAGAAAAGGGGAGATGATTAGACAATACAGAAGATAATGCATTGATAAATGATTAAAGAGCAACGATGGGAGAGAGAAAGAGAAAGAGAGAGAGAGAGAGAGAGAGAGAGAGAGAGAGAAAAAGAAATAGAGAGAGAGAGAGAGAGAAACAGACAGACAGACAGACAGATACAAAGAGAGAGAGAGAGAGAGATAATGAGAGAGAGAAATAAAGAAAAAGTGATATAAAAAATGATCAAAGTATACATCTAGAGTAGATATCAAACTGCCAGATGTTTGAGACATGGGTGCATTGAATGCTTCAGTAAGTGCACAAATTATGAATTGAAGACAGGTAGCAATTTATATCGAGCTATCGAGCTACTTAAATCTGTTGTGATTCCTGGAAGGACATTGGTGTAAAAGCACAGATTTGTCTCATCCACATGTATTAGGTACATGTACACTTGCATATCATCTTGCTACGCATATGTCCTCATTTTTATCTATAGTTCTTAAGATGTATTCTTCAATAAAATTTAAATGGTTGTAAGAAAATCAAAGCATTTGTTTCTCTGAATTTTTCATTTTTCAAATTTCAAACGATATCATCCAAATCAAGTTGAGCGCTTTACATATGAATGAATTATTCATTCTAAAACTTATTTAAGGTTTTTTTTAATAAATGGGTTACTTATATGCAGGATGAATTAAAAAGGAACATGGAGGATTTGTTAAATCTGTAATCCATAATGGCTGTATATATAATACCATAAAAACTTGAATTTGAAAGAAAATAAAAAAAGAGCAAAAAAAAACAACCCCACATTGATATCTACCAAAGATATGAAAGGAGTATACCTTTATTTTCTCTCGTTCATGGAAATGGGATATTGTAAATGTTGTTTTTGTGAAGTAGACACAACAATTTCCTTTGCCAATCATCATCCTTTTTAGCATTAAGGGATAATGATGATGTGGCATTGACACTAATGGACTTGTGTGCTTTCAATTACCTGTTTACAGGAGAATCGTGATGACAATGTTGGATCAAGGTCAAACGGCACAGCGGGACAGACAGATGACAGCAGCACAAGATTAAAGATCAAGGTTTATAGCGTGCTTTCATATTTAATTTCAAACCTACACAAAAAAATGCAAATGTATATTTGTATATTCACTAAAGTATATGTATACAATATTACTAAAGGCAAATGTATACTAAGACATTTATATTTTTATTTTTAGAGTATAAAATTTGCTTTAAGGCAACAGTATGCCAGGATATTTATTTTTAGAGTTTAGAATATGCTTTGTCTTTATTATTATCATGGGCATCAATTTGTACTAGAAAATCATTACCTAAGTTTCACCATGTTCTGATCTATCATGAGAAATAATCTGCTAAGTAAGATTTGAGAGTCTGAATAAATTAATATAACAAGTACCTCATAGATGGATAGACTAGTCTGCTAAAAAGATTTATAAGTGTGAATAAATTGATATAACAAGTACCTCTGAAGATTTCACTTTTCAACAGGTTCCACTTCATTCATCTAGTAAAACATACCTTTATATTTCTCCTATGATCTAGCTTGACCAACTGAAAGGGAAGCTGAGCCTTAAGGTAGCAGAGCTGCAGGCCCTCCTGACTAAGTTTGAGGCAATGAAACACAAAGAGCGAGATCAACAGGCTCATATCAATCTCCTCAAGGAATCATTAGCTGCCAAAGAACAACACTCTAGTATTCTGCAAGCTGATGTGAGTGCTCTGAGACTGAGAGAGATCCACCATGTAGGAAACTGGGTAGCTCTGGGCCCTGTCTAACAAAGACTTGCGAAATCAATCGCAAGTCCTCCAATCAATCGCAAGTTTGCAGTCTCCTATCTCTTATCTCTTATGTACATAGTTGCGATTGATATTAACTCTTTAAAGACAGGGCCCGGGCCATTAGCCTTGGATGGGGGAACAGAATGCCATCTGTAGTTGTGAAAGGAATGTGAAGAATACATTTTGCAAAACATAGGAACACAAAACTTCTGTCTATCTTTTGGTATTTCATGATTCCAACTACCCTGGCAGATTGTATGCCTATGGACCAGAAAGCCATCAAGGCTTCTTGTCATTTTTACATTAAAAAAAGTGATTGTAAAGGTGATATTATTTCTTCAAACTAGTACCTATTACTTTGGACTTTACAATGATAGTCTAAATGTTATGCACATCTTGTTGTTTTATTCTGTCATTATTTTGTGCGGTGAGAAAGTATGATACTTTAGCGTTGTCTTACAAACCGCATACATGTAGATACATGATGTCTAATTATACATTAGCAAATTGAAATCGACTTTTGAACTCTTCATTTGACTCCATGTAGGTGGAGGCCCTAAGATTTCGGTTGGAAGACAAGGAGCACCAACTAAACAAACAGGAGGTTGTCATGACAACCATTAACACTGACAAATCCAAGCAGTCTTCAGAAGCTGATGAGCTCCGAGAGATGAATGAACTCAAAGAACGAAAGATAGTTGCACTCCAACGAAAGGTAAGAGTTCTTAATAATCTTAACTTAATTTCTGAGATTATATCTACAGGTATAGTCCCAAAGCTCATAGTGGGGCAGATTAAAAAGCTATTGATTGTTTAATAAGTTTGTTTTCTATGTAGATATCACATGAGACCATTCTTGTACATTAGTTAAATGCATGTATTAAAACAATATGTTTTAAAGACACCATTACACATTAATCAACATTCTCTTTTTTTTAAATATGAAAGCTGCATTTCTTCTTTAAATTAATCTCCCACACATTCTCCTCGTTCATTTCAATTGATAGCTAGTATCTTAAAGTAGAAAATCTTTTTCATGACAAAACTTGTAATAAAAAATTGGGAAGATACATTTCCTTCAATTTTTACTTGTGTTCCTTACCAAATGTATTTGCAGTTCATTTGAATCAAGGTTGTTCATGCAAACGCTTCAAATTATTAACAGGATAGGTTCAGTATCCTCAATAAATTGGCTAGGGGAAGGGCTAAAGAGCATAAAGAAGTGAGACATAAATGAGAACGCACATCTAAAATATTCCTTAATTTACCCATGAGAGACACAACTTAGTTGGTAAGCAGTGGCTGCATGGTGGCGCATTAGATGTGAGGAAATGCTTTTCTTCTTTCAAAGTTGAAATCTTATCCCGGCTATGTGGGAAGAGTGTTAGAATCTCATGCCGGCTAGAGTAGGATGATGAATCTTTTATGAATACAAAATCATGGAGGACGTTTAGAGGAGAATCCCCTTTTACTTGAGGATGGATTGGTGTGTTGACACAGGCTTAAACCTCATTCACTCATGGTACAATAAACGTAACAAATAATGTTGCAGCAATTTTTTTTCTTTTTTCTTTAATGTAACGCAAGGAAAGTGGGGTGAAAAATGTAGCTTCATGCATTAAAGGTCCTTTGGTATATTCTGGAATCCATATGTTACATTATAGAGCTCACACTATGCTCATGTAAATTCATTTTGACAAGGTTTTTTCTTTTTAAAGACTGTTTTATATGTCATGTGAGAACGAGACTTTAGTAGGGTTAGAGAGGGATAGAAGTAGTCCTCATTTCATCTTGTGATTTGATATTTCCATAGAGTAACTGATCTTTCTGAGACCCTATAGGGAGCTCGTATTTCAAACCTGTACGCCTGCTTTATCGTAGGTTTTGATAAATGTTTGATCTGTAACTTAGATAGAGTACAATTTAATGGATTGAGATTAGGAAAATCTTCTGTAAAAGTGCAGTGGCGGTAAAACATTAGCCAATATAGCCATCTATACGAAATTGATAACATCAGTATTTTTCACAAATGTACTGTTATTCAAAATGAAAATGATGGCCACGAAAGTGTTTTGACCAACATTTTTTTGAGTGACATATCTCTTATTCAACATAGTCGCTGTAACTCAATCTTACAAGCTGTAGATACAAGTTGATCCAATAGCGTTTCACAAAAGACGGTTTTTATTACATCTAAGACCTCAAAACACATTTTTAAAAATCTTCCATTATTTACGCTAAATGACTGTATGCACACCTCTTTCTGTGGTAAAGTATGTTTGCTCCACCAATCTGTTCTTATCACTACACCATTAATAGTTACAGAAATCTATTGATTAGGACAGCCCCACACTATTGAATCTGTGTTTGCATTTGTTGGGCGCTGATTGGCTGTTATGTAATAGGATGTAGATCCTTCATGTAGGTGTTCCATGTTTACATGGTAGAAGCACTCCTCGTCAGCTAGTAGATGATGGGCTTCAATCTGTATTGAATTAAGCAGAGGTTGTGGACAGACATGCATGGTTAATTGCCAGAGCTGATGGGCTGATGAGTAAATTAGAGAGATTTATGCATGCATGGTTTCATAAAGTTAAAACTACATAAGCAGAGAACTAAGGAATATTGTCCTTGATGTCATTTGTGCATTATAAAAAGACATTATCCAGAAATGTTTAGTAGTTTACTTTTAAGCTGGTTGAATATTTTGATTTCAATTTTGTTTACTACCAGACAGGCCTGTTACCAGATACAGAGCCAGAGGATATATTTGATATTGTATTTCATTGTGAATCTTTTGATTGAACCTAGATTCTTTCCCATGGCAAACCTAGTATTATCAGGCACGTAGCCAGAGTTTGATGTTTGGGGGGGGGGGGGGCACATGTAATCGATCGAGGTAAAAAAAATGGGTCTAAAAAAAATGCAACCGATCCTGGAAATTTAGGTGTGGGCACGTCCCCCCCCCCCCCCCCTGGCTACGCGCCTGAGTATTATATGGTTTTTTTTTAATCTCATAGTTCAAAATATTGACTTAAAAAAGAAATAAGCTCAAATTACAGTTAAGCTCAGTAAAAATATATAATGTTCTGCAAAGTGATGTAAAATCAGTAGCTCATATGGATATTGTCCTTGCAGCAATACAACAACTGAACAAGACTAATTTCCTTTTTAAGAAACAAGTGTCTTTGTGAAGGATGATAAATTGAACAGATTGAAGTTGTAGTGGCCATTATCTGTGCACTTTAAGTGATTGTTGTGTACCGGTACTTTCAATTCCTAGAAATGTTTTTTATCATTCTTTGATATCTCTTGTGCACTTAGTAATTATGTACATTTGACAACGGAGTAGTTACTCTAATATACACGATGTAAATCTGTATCCGTATATTGAGATAACCTATTTCCTTCTATTTTTCTAGTTCTTTTATTTCAACTTTAAGAGCGTACATATTTATCATTTATGGAGAGATTAAAGATAAACTTGAGTTCTGGTAATGCGATTGCATTGTGAAAGAAAAGATGTGGAATGGATCAGAAAAGTTTATCATATAGCATGTAAGTAATGGTGTGTAGTGCAAGGTTCTGGAGTCATCAAAATCATCATAAGTTTGGCAGAGTCTTGGTAAAGTAACAATCACTTACACAGAAAGATGTATATGGGACAACACAAATGGTGTCGGGGCTAGTACTACCCTGATTTCCTTATCTTTCTATGCTCATTACTCAGCCAGTATACATTTTCTTCCAAAATTGTTTGGCACATGTCATTTATTTGTAATCCTGAACATTCAGTGTAAGTTTCGTTAGATTCTGTGAGAATTCATTTTTTTTTTTTACCAGAACTCAAGTTTATCTTTAATGAGGTGTTTTATATTGCATTTTTACTCCCCAGAACTGTAAGATAATTTATTTGTACCTATATGCCAAGAATGATGATCATTCAGCCTTACAGGCTTTAAAAAGCTACAGAAAGATAACTCAGTAATCATAATTTATATGAATATTTTTCTGCCTTCTTTCATCCTGTACTATGATTTCTTTTATATTTTGTTCTTTCATTGAATCCATGATTTTCTTTTCTTTTGACTTTTCAAAGCACGCTGATTTGTCAAAAGGAATGGAGCTACAGGGGAGCAAATTAAAAATTCTGCAAGTGAAGGTGACCAAAATGTCCCACCCTCTCATCCCAAAGGGGTGTGTCCATTCTATGTTCCTGTGTTCATTTGGCTTGGGTGTTTGTTAGTATAGCTTCTACCAAAATCAGAATCATGCTGTCTTGTCTTCACTTTCCTTCTAGAGTACCATGAACCAGAAATTTTTGTGACATGAAACTTTCGCCAATTGTTCAGGAGCTGTTTTCACAGCAAGAAAGTTTCGAAAAATTGAGTGTTGTGCTGTGATTTACTTGTTTCATGTCATGATGCTTTTGCGAATGTGAACCACTTGTGACATTTGTGAACAATTCATGCATGAAAGTTTCTGTTTTTAATAGTAGTAGGCACGCCATTGTAAACATTTTCATATGACTTCAAGTATGAGGTTTCGTCAACACCATCTTTATCATGAAGTACCCTGAGATATATATCAGAGTGACCCTCAGAGTGTGATTAATGTATTATTTGTGTTTATAAGTGTTTGTTAGTTTACCCTGCCATGTTTTCAATCCTGCAAATCTGTCTTTGTTTGGAGAACGTCCACTTTTCCTTTTTCACTATCATTGATCATCTTTCACTTCTACTTCATTTGTTTTCATGATAAAGGAGTGATAGACTAGACATCATCTAGTATTTTGTAAAGTGATGGTAGTGTAAATGTGTAATCAATGCCCACCACCCAGTTGTGCTGGTAGATGCTTGTCTAACACTTCAAGGATCGTCATTTATTTATTTTTATTGTGAGGAAAAATATATGATCACTTGTGAAACTGATGCAGTTGCACTGTTCTGAAGACGTGCTTTTATTGCATGGAATCTTGTTTAAAACAGTAGAAGCATTTGTTCCTCGAGAGTAGTTTTATAGTGGTAGTGTGCCCATCAAAATTGTGTTCAACGGTAAGTAGAATCTGTTAATGTACTACGTACAGGAACCTTTTTTCCCAATGCAAGCTTTTATGCCGTGTTCATTATGTTGTGTTTGCCATATGCGTAAGGCATGACGAGTGATGTTAGATCAGAATTAGTTAAAATTTGTTGACTGGATTTCATAACAGGATTTATGTAAAACCATAGTTTAAACCTTCATTTATATGAATATTATGCTTATCTTGTCATGACCGCTGGACGGCAATAGAACTCTTATTTAATGTTGTTTAAATTGATAGCGAGACTCAGGCCATGATTTTTTAACATTTTTTTTTAAGGGGGGGGGGGAACCCAGGTTGAGTTACAAATATAAGTTGAGTTACAATATAAAATAAGACATGAGGGAAAAGTTTGGACCAAAATTAATCTAATTCCTTGATTAATAGAATTCCAGACCTTTATGTGGTACTTGTACATGTCGATACCACAAAGAAACAAATTGTTTAAATGCCTGATGTCTTTTCTTGTAATTTTATTGCAATTCTGAAAAAAGTGAAATCACACAAATGTTATTTCCTCTTCTCCGCAAATACCCTTACATCTTCAGTATCTAGCCGCATTAAAGATATTGTCCTGCAAGTTGTATTTACATAAGATTGTATTTCCCACTTCCTGACTGCAAAGGATAGCATTTGTAGCGGCGACGTCGGCAAAATATAGTCTTTACTTTAATTCTTTACTCTGACTTTAACTAGTATTTAGTATCCCAAATCTCTAATACCTACACATTTTCCAAGTATAGTCTTGTAAGTAATGTGAATAGCATTTACAAGTGCAGTTGTGCATTTGATCGAGGCAAATGGCAGAGTAATACTTATAGCTGATCATCTTTTTATAAGTTTGATGAGGACCATTGTACGAATTGTCTGAATGGCTAAACTAGCCAATCTTAAATAGTCTTGCTCTGTAGGATGAACGTGAATGTAGGATGGCCCAATAATCAATCAAATCATACATATGAGCACCTAGTGAAACGGTATCTGGCTGGCCTGATATTTGTGGGCAAAGGGGCCATCTTGTAGGTGGATGAATAAAACGGGCTTCAAAACTTGCATTGTATAGCATTCTCTCTTAATGCAGAGGAAGTATGAAGTCCCTTCAAAAGAGGGCATCATATTTTTTTAGAATAGTTTGGTGATACAGATTGAAGAAAGTCTGCCAATTGAAGTCAACTAGGGAAAGTGAATTTGACGATGCCTTGATGTTATATTTAAAAAGTCTTAATGAAATTATACATTGCTTTTCCAATGCAGTGATTTACTTCTTCAGTCTTATGTTGTGGGGCTACCTATTTATTGTATGCATTGAAATATGAATGGTTTAATAAACAAGAAATGCAAGAAATACTTTCCTGATTTCATTAACATTTGAAGCTGAAGGTTAAAAGGTCAATGAGGGATCTCAAACCTTAATGCAATCAACAGAATATGCATGGATCTATTTGAGTGCATACTTGAGGTGAAGAAGAGATGATACCCTTTCCATGATTATTTGGGGGTCACCATTTCATGTTAGCCAGTGATATTTCTAAAGTTCAATTCAGAGAATCGCATTGAAAAGAGCCATACTTAAGCTTTCCGTCTTGCACTCATCAGAGTAAAAGGCAAGAAGTTCAATTCATATTTTACTAAAGATTTTAAAGTAGGAAATTTGGTTCATGTATATTTACCTTCAATTTTTACCTGCATTTCTTGTTAAAATGTTTGTGTGTTTCTGTTCAATCACTGAGTTATATGCTGCTATGTTAGAAGATGAGCTGAAATTCTTTTTTATACTGGTGCTTTGGGGATGAAATACATATACTTTTTTTTTTAACGTGTTTACTTTTTTCCTACTTCCATTAGATAAACCAAATTCACATAATAGATGAAAATACCAGGACTTATGTAAACGTACATTTTGTGTGATTTCCCCTTATTGTTAGCTAGATGTCTGTGACACTTTGGATCCACATTGCATCATGACCCCTCCCCCATGTAATATTACTATCGAATCTATCTGATCAAGGTTCTGAAGTGAATGCAAGGGTTTTGTAAACCTGTCCTTTGAGAACAATCATGCCATTAAATGTAGTTTTTTTTAATCCTGGCTTAAAACCAGTTTGATTTTTTCCCCACCCTAATCGAAAAGTATGAGATGTCTCACTGTCAAGATTTTATGCATAACCTATGAATAAATAGTCAGAACCTCAATCAGAAAGATTTCCCTTTTTAAATCCTTTGGATTTTCTACTCTTTGAAATTTCTTCTCATGACTGTTGCATACATAGATGTATTGTACCTGTAAATATGTATGATGAATGGTGGCTTTTAGAAGTACACTGCGCTGAATAAGTCCCATTGTTGGTCATCTGTGATTCATTTGTAATTATATCTTGTTTATTTCACATTTTCTAATTGGTAGTGTCATATGATCCATGCTTTGTGCAGTGTGCTTGCCCAGATTGACTGTTAGAGCAACTGTTTTACATTTTCATAGAAAATTGTGTATCTTGTAAAATATTGCTCTGTATTTCCCCAATTAGCATTCTTGTGAGTTTGACTCTCTCAACACCCTTTGACGTTGCCTCTGTGAATGAACACCTTTGTACTTAATGCTAACTTTTTATTCATGGTTCAGGACCAAAAACAGGGAATATGACCAGTTTAGAAATTGGTCAAGTATAGCAGAAAGCAAGCATGCAAGACCAGGACTTACTTAACATTTATTTTCTGGAACCAAAAATCAGTCTTCAAAGTCAGTCCACAGAATATGCATTTGTACCTGATGCTGTAATGTGAAACATAGCTTCTTGTTGTTCCGTGTTGAGTTACAAGTGATGATGATATAGCCAGAGTAGCTCATACAGTTGTACTCAATGCACTAAATCATTATTAATCTTGTTACAGGCCTGTCTTATGACTTCATCACTGTATTTGAACATTCATATATATATATGCGATAGTCTCTGTGATGTTCCTCCATAGTTAGAATGTATTGTCGCTCTTTGCAACTGATCACCTCCTTACTCTTTCTCCATCTTCAGAATGAGAGCTTTCTAGAGCAGCTGAAGGAGCGAGACAGTCAGACGTTGTCACTTCGCGATCGCCTCACTGCTCTCCAGGCCGACCAGAGCAGCTCCGACAGCGCTGTGTCCAGTCTGGAGGACGCCCTCATTGACAAGGACCGGACAATTGAGAAGCTGAGGGCGGAGAAGGAGCAGGAGATCAAAGAGAAGGAAGAAGCGATCGGGAGACTGACAAAGCAGATTGAGGAGCTCAAGATGCAGACTGAAGAACTTCAGAAGAGCACGTCAGAAAAGGAGGTAGATTGAGTTTGGTTCAGGCTGAAAGGGATTGTCCCAAAGTTTTAACATATAGAATCAAACCTATATATAATCTGAAAGCCTGAATGGTGCTACCTTGATGTGAAATGATAATACTTTAATAACTTTTTGGCTCTCAACACATAATACATGGTTCATAAAGTTGATAGAAACAATTCTTTTCCCATAACATCCATACTTATAATTAACATGTTTTAAATGATATTCAGAAAGTCGCAAAATAGTGAATGGAAACTTTACATTGAATTGTAAAGGAAAAACAAAGGAAGCTGACTTTTTCCTTGTCACGTCAGGGCCCCGTCTTACAAAGAGTTGATATCAATCGCAACTTATTTGCTATTGATATCAATCGCAACTATATACATAAGAGATAGGAGACTGCAAACTTGCGATTGATTGGGAGACTTGAGATTGATTGGGATAAATGGCAACTCTTTTTAAGACGGGGCCCAGTAAACCATATGTACATGAACAAATATACTTCCTCATTTTGAAAACTAGGAGTGTAGCTATTGATATCTCACCGAGCTCAGATCCCAACTAATACTCATTGAATCGTTCATGATTGTCTTTTTCTCCATTATCTCCAGGCATCTTTCCTTGATCTGAAGGAGCATGCCTCGACGGTAGCATCAGGAGCCCTCAAGAAGGACTCCAGGATCACCACCCTGGAGATCCAGCTTGCTCAGAAGACAGAGGAGTTAATCCAGGCTGAGAGTGAACTCAAGAAAGTGAGTGCATGGGTCATGACTAGTGTATTTAATAGACAAATGTCAAATTTATTTGGATCATGGTCTGAATTCACAATTAAGGTTCGGCCATGAAGATCCATGCAAGATCATGGTCAGAATTCACAATAAAGGTTCGGCCCTGAAGATCCATGCAAGCAAGATCGTGGTCAGAATTCACAATAAAGGTTCAACCCTGAAGATTCATGCAAGATCCATTAAATTCTTATCGCTTGTGCATCCTGCCCAAATCGAGATCGTTGTAACTAACCAAATGATCCTGGTAGCTATTCAAGATCTCACATGGTAATACATGGGAGATACATTATGCACATTTTACAGGTGTGACCAATATCTCTGTGGCACATTTCATAGGTTGTGATTGTCACAAAATGGTTTGAAAGTCACTCTTCTCGAATGATTCTATAGGTTTCATATGATTTTTGGTAACAATGTCAAACTGTCTAGTATATGTTTATACTTGCTTGAGCAATGGAAAGAAGATAGTGGATTCAATTTGGGGGTGAATGGAAGCCTATTATCAATGGTGTAGACAATTTACCTACTTTTCATAAAACATTTATTGTGAATTGAATACCTTGACTGGATTTACACTGCCCTCAAAATTAATACATTTGGGGGTTGCAGTTCTTTCATGTTAAACTTCTCCCTTCAATACTTAAGTAACCCTCCCCCTTTCATATTCATAAGATGCATTGGTGTTTAGGGTGTTATTATCATTAAACAATACTCAATTTGTTTACATTTTAACTAATATCGATACACTTCCTCCTTTCTTATAACTCAATTTATTAATATAGTACCTTCTTCCAGTTAGAAATTATATTGTGATATATTAAATTTGAATTTTTAGATTATCTCGCTTGTTCGTATCCGTTCCCAAGTTATTTTTTTTCTCCAGTTTTGAAGGGCCTTATAAAGCAATTGTCCCCTGTTCACCCTTGTCCATTTGCAAAAAAGCTCCTCCATAAAATTGCATGTGCAGTAGGCAAACAGAAAGAGAAATAGTTGCAAAATTCTTGCAAATCTATGTGAATAGAAGATTGTGACGGATATTGCGCTATCTCGTAGTTGGTGTAAAACATGTGTAGATCTGAATTTAGAGTATAGAAATTTTGTATGAATTTTATTGTGAATATTATGCTGAAAATTGTTATTATTATGAAATAGATTGAATACCCCCCTCCCCATCTCCCCCCCTTATATAGAACATGGTTGCAAATTTTGAATAAGGTCTGTTTGAAAGTGTGACTGATGATGCATGAAAGTGATCATTGAGAAACATAAAGGCCACACAGGACCAAGAATATTCTATTCTTTGAGGTCCTTTTTCTTTTTCTTTTTCATCTTTGACAGCTCATTCACTTTACACTATTAAGAAATCGCACAATTGAGAAGTAACAAATCTGGGCCCAGTTTCATCAAACGTGTTATAAATATCAACAAATGATAAATTTCTATGGCATATTCGCTCTCAGCCAATCAGATGCTACAATTTCAGTAGCTTATAACAGTTATTTTAACTTGTTATTGATAACAGGTTTTATGAAACAGGGCCTTGGTGTTTCACACTAATCTGTGATGGTGTGATGTCCTTAATAATAAGGTGTGGACAGACAGGGTGTTGAGATTGACCCCCTTTTTACCCCTTTGAATCCTTTCATTTTCACCCAATATAATCCCCTTCTTTCCATGCTAACTCAGATGCATCGTAGACTACAGGCGGTAAGTATTCATCATGCATGTGCATGAAATTCAGCGGATCTTTACAAATGTATACCAGGGGGTGTTTCACAAAGATCCTAAATCAAACTTAACTCTAAGTGGGACTTAAATATTATGGAGAGCCATTTGTAGCCTTAAATCAAAATATATTCAAATAAATAATTGAAGTATTTTAGACTTTTCATAAATTACACATCAAGAATAAGAAACCTCCTTGATAATAGAAATATGAATGATTTGAATTAACATTTTAAAATAACTTTTACAAAATATTTTCGAAGATGCTAACCGCTTCCCATAATTTTTAAGTCCAACTTAGAGATAAGTTCAACTTAGGATCTTTGTGAAACACCCCCATGTACTCTCCATTTAACAGAGATGACATTATGACCCTAATTAAATATTATATCAATCATTTTATTAAAAAACTATTAAAGATGGATAAGTAGTGTATTACTCTTTAGTAATTAATCTATACATGACATCCTAACTAATTGATTATTGATAACATTTGAGATTATAATGATAAAGATAATACTCAGATACTATGACTTCCTAATAATAATCTGTTTTTTATATAACATAACACATAACTAGGCATAGCACCCCTATATACTTTAATACAGAGTACATGAGAAATTATTACCCGTGCTGAAGTTACATTCCAAGGAGTAAAATTTCTGATTTGCACCTAGATTGACGGAGACAACTTCTGATAAAACGCCATGTTGACGGCCAGTCATTGGGTAGATTTGAACCCTCGATCTCTCAATGAATAGTCAAGTGAATGAACCAATATGCCATGGTACTCCTGTCATATCATGATAGCCTTCTCAATGAAGTATTGCAATTCATTACTTTGTTTCATACATATACAAGATACAAATTTTCTTGTTTTTGGAAAAAAATTATCATAGCTGATCCCTTGCAGTTAATATTAAATGTTATTATATTCATTATCCCCGAATGGGTAACATACTACAGGAATTAAAAGAGGCATATTTACATTTGGAAACACATGAATAGAAAGAAGAGTATATCATGTGAAAAGCTGAGTAAAAAAAAAAGTATTGACAAATTTGAAACATTCAGAGCCTATACTCAGACACTAATGTTACACACATGTATATGCTGTTTAGTATTTGTTTTTTGTTCTGCATGAAGCCTTTGAATGTTCCACACCCATTCTCCTTTCCAAAGTCTTGTAACACTACTGTGCTTGTCTGTTGATATTTTCATATTTGCTGCTCAGCAAGAAGAATATGAATGATACCAGCTTGAGTCTTATTTCCTTTAATAGTCAATCAATCGCTTGATATGTTATGCATTCATTATGGTTCTGCTTACATTTATATGTTTGTGTGAACTTTGCATAAATCGTCGCTGTTTTCACGAAGTGACGGTAGTGAAAAAAAATTGCATTCACTTTGCGTTACGATTTTCCTCACTACCGTCACTTCATAAAAACAAGGACGAAATGTAGTTCTTACCAATGAATCAAATCAGTTTGCACCCCTCAAAAAGATGTAACACATGCATTGTATATTTTACAACTTTATGAATGCCATGAGCATGATTTGATGCCATACTACACTATACAATTCAGTGAATAATGCAAAAAGATATAGTTCATATAAGTGTATTCACATTTTGTTATTGCCTTTTCTCTGCCTTCATAATATCAGAATTGTCAGTTTAATGAAAATCATCTTCATAGCATTATGTATGAGACGGTTACCCCTGGTCAGTGAATGACTCAATCCACTGTGTATTCGCTTTATTAATCAATAATAGTGATTAATCAGTCAGCAATATGGATACTTAGGCTAATTAGATAAATCAACAGTACATTCACCATTTATGGAGTAACGTATAAGAGACAGTTGATGTAAGGTCAAATATGAAATAAATTTGCTGTATCTTCAGATCACAGTCATCTGAAATTGACTTTATAGTTCATATCCTCTGCTAAGAACAAGGACATATAAAAGAAAAATATATGACCTAAAGCCCTTCTGGTTCTCCTAGCAGTCGATATGATGCAGACAGTGCCAATACTGGTAAAAATGTCAAAATAAAGAGAGGAAATTATGAATGACATTTAACTTTCCCAATTAATTTCCACAATTTTGAAAGAACAGATTTTGAAATAGTAATTCTGCATGTTTGTTAGTGAATCATACAGAAAGAGAAGGCACCTAGAATTTTTTTTGTTGATGCATAATACCCAACTTGGACATTCATTTCAGCCTCTCAACAATGATATTTATCTGCTAATGGTTGGAGATTAGGAAGCAGACCTGGAATAGCCTCTGACTATAATTTCAATACCAGATGAAATTGTTTTGTTTATGAAAGATTACAGCCCTTTCCACGGAGAAGGAAGAGTAGAAATCAACCCTTTACTCACTTTGATGTACTGAGGGAACAGTGGAATGCCAACGTAAACTGTTGTCAAACATACAGTTTTACATGGAATATAATACTTCTTGATACTTGATACAACTAGGCAGTCTATAAGGGTTCCAATCTACAGCTATTACAGAGTTGAATATATGATAATCAGGGATATCCATTTTTTAGACAGAAGCCAGAATTCGGGCCCTTGCAAGTGTTTTCATACCATTTTCTGGACTTTTCTAGCGTGCAAAATATCTTATTGCATATGATTTTCAGGCCCTCTTTTAGATTCTGTCTGGCACCCTTGGATAACGGTTGTCTCTATACTCTGTGATATCCTGTCCCCCCTTTGTGCAGTTGAAGGATGAGAAGGAGTCCAGCCATGCCCAGGAGATCCAGGAGCTGCAGGGATCCGTGTCTGCGATGAAGGATGAGGTCCGCAAGTCGCATGCAGAGGTCGACAGGCTCCTGGAGATCATGAAGGAGATGGAAGGAGAGAAGAACGACAAGGAGAAGAGGATTAAAGATCTGGAGAGGTATAAAATCAAAGGTGTTATTTAGTGTGATATACATGTAGCATTTAATAGCAAGGGTTAGATACAGGTATACACTAGACATATGCGCATAATATGCGCATGTGTAGGTAAAATCTGTTGAAACAAGCACAGAATCTGCCATAATGTGCTTGTATCCATTAGTATTTAGTTGGGTAACAGGTTACACATCCACCATAATAGACGATGATCCAACAATTGTTTTGGACTTTATTTCATCAAAATTTTTGGTTATGGCTTTAGTTGTGGTTTGGGTCGTGTGGTATTATTACAATAACTAGGCTTTCCTGGAGTAGTTAAGATGAGGGTTATATGTAGTGTGGCATCTGGGGTTAAAGTTAATGCACTGTCTGGGAAGTATGTACTTACAAGCTAGCTATATGATCTCACATGCTGTTGTACTGTATATGTAAATCAGTTACTAATACATTTGTTTTGTATTTAACAAAAAGACAAGAATGATAGTGAGATCACTTAGATCTGGAGAAGGAAATTGGGCAAGGTCATTTTTGCATTCAAAGTCCACTATTGACTATGAGCATGTTTACATAGATTAAATTAAATAAAGATACAAAAATCACTCAGTTGATAAAAATAACATGGATAAGTCATTAAGCAACAAGGAAATATGATTTTAGATACTGTGAGATTAGAGCAGAAAGGAAATATGAAAGGAAATGGATATGAAGGCCACACATGTGTTAAAGTACAATATCAATATTATTATATTGTTACATTGATATCAATCTTCAATCAATAGAGAATTATGCATGTGATTAAAGTACATGTAGACATACTAAGAGACAAGGAGGGAGCAGTTATGCAAGACAAGCTCCTGCGACATTTGCTCCCCTGGCCCCCCCCCCCCACCCCCACTCCGGGGACGGAAGCACCGTATTGGTGTTTTCCAAATCTCTGGTAAAGGGGTACTTTTCAAGCAACAAAGTCCGGCCCGTATTGACTTTACACACCAGAGATAGGGGCGTGCTTTCAAAGGGAGGGAACATGCATAAGCGTACCCTAAAAATCACTAAGTGGGGGGGGGGGGGCCGGGTTTGCTCCACAGCAATTTCCTACACTAATTGCATTCCTACCTTCATCCCTGGATCCAACACTATACCTAACCCTTACCGTAATCCTTAACCTAACCTTAAATCCAATTTGCAACCCTAACGCTAACCCTTTACATTTTAAAAGAAAATGCGGAGCTAGTGTTGCTGGAACAATTTTTTGACCAAAGAGGGAGTATGATAGAGCAAACCATGTGATATGCACATGGAATGAAACTTGGCAGAAAGCATAATGAGGAATGCATGAAAAAAGTAAATTTGATCATCTTTAATCATCGCACTGGGGTCACTTGATGTTAGTGTACCGGTATGCAAAGTTGGTCTGGGAATGGTTTCAGCAGTTTCAGCAGTTTTAGCAGTTGCTAGGTGTAAGTGCATTTAAGTGGACTGAGGCCAACTTTTCCTGTGGAATTAACTCGATTAAGTCCATTTCATCGTTGTGAATATCTGATATGCGAAAACAATGAAGAAAAACAGACTTGTATCCTACTGCATCTTTTGATAATTAAGGATTTGATTTTTTTATTAAAAAAAATACTAATTTGAAAAACAAAAGGAGAACTGCAGGTCTAGCGAATTGTGATGAATCAGTGAAACAATATGTGTTTGGTTTGAGTGGAAATTAATGCAAGCAGTGAAAATAAAACGCCTGATTTTTTTAACGAGTATCAACTTCTGACTTTTCTTGCTAAATTTCTTGCTAAATAAAAATGGTAAAGAGAAATCTCAACCGGCTCCACCTTGTTGGTCCTAATTCAGCTCTGAAAAGCGGACCATTGTGAAACATTGGTTTTAGATTATCTGGAGTAGCTAGTATGTATACCAGAGGCTTAGGCCTACCTATCACAACAGAAAAGAGTTGGTACTAGTATGAAAATAAAGAGAAAATGATTTACATGTTCAATGGAGAATACTTATTCCTGCAGGGCTTTTGAAAGATTTGAAAGTATGTAACTGTATTGAGATTGAAAGCTATTGTCGGTCATTGCCCTATAGTTGGTGAATAATATCACTTCTTTGATATAACAATCATTGACATTACAATTGAATCAAAAGCAAACTGCCAGTGATGTGAATTGATTTATATGATAAGTCTGATTTAAATCACTGATGTAGTGTTTTAAATGAGAAAAAGTAAAACAATTGCCAAACCTGGATTATGCCAAATGTTAGCATTGCATTGGAAATGCTTACTTGTATTGTTCAAAACTGTTCATGATTATGTAATAACTTGTAAAAGCTAACTTTAAACACAACCGTTGCTTCTGAAGCTTCTTTATTCCTAAACAAGTTGCAGCTAATAACCTAAATGCCTTTTGCTTCCTGCTAACCTTTAACCTCCAGCATAATGAGAAAACATTGCCCAGGGTGAGTGACCTATATATGTCATGACCTTAGATGACCTTTGACCTCATTGTGCATGAAGTAATCTTGTCATTGCCCGATCTTCCTGTCATGTATTTATATGCATGTTGTAGATATTATGCATCTGTGCATAAGTTTCTTGTCCTTTTCAACATGTCTTTTTTTAAAGTAATAAATTCATAAGTGAATTCTTAATTGATAATGTAGTGAATATGTTTGATAACAATTATAATTATCTTCAACAATTTTGATTTCTATTTCAATGTTTGAGTTTTCACAAGAGCTTGCACACTGCCTGAATTTTGTCAATTTTTTCTGTTTTAATTGGCAGAATTACACAAATCCCTTACTGGTTTTAATTATTTCTAACCTACCAATTCCATTATCATTTCAATTTTTTAACTTCTTTCTAAATATTAACTACGTTTATACCCTAAATTGCTACCAATGTTTACTTTTTGTCCCAGTGCATCATTCTAGTTGTCATCTATATTGTTATTACAAAAAAAAAGAGTTAACAAATTATTACGATACTGGCCAATGTTGATTTGTACCCCACCTGTTTTAGTTCTATACACTGTGCACTATTGTCACTTTATTTGGCATGTGTGATGTTATGTTATATCTCTGCATGGTACAATTTGACAAATGTATTTTTCCAAGTTAATTCCAGACTAAAAAAATTGCCTGATAGTCGAAATGACACTCAATGTGATGAGTGATAATGTTTCTGTGTTGTGAGTGTGCTACGTTGTTTTACATACAGATGTTATTTTTTATTTGTTTCAATTTTTGTGCCATAAAATAGTCCTGAAAAGAATTATGTTGAAGGGTTTATGTATGATAGTTAAATACCTTTCAGCTTGTTAGTTATACCACTAAGATTGATTGGTATTTTGTTATGTTAAATGTTTATCTTTATAATAACATACAAACAATCAACATGTAAAAATAGACAATTGTTTATATCCAAGTGAGGCATTAATCAACATCTAACCATAAACATTTTGATTAAAGAGATAATATTTGTTGATAGTTTCTCATAAAATATACCACACATCATGTTACATTCTGAAAGACTCAGCTGAAGATTCCACTGAAGAAAGAAGCCGGAATGAAGCATAAGATTGTCCAAAATTAGAGGCTGCTTTTAATTATGTTTCCAATTCTTGAACAAGTAGATTGATGTTGCAAGGCCATGTACTAATGTCGAGTTAATGATGTTTTGAAGACAATGAATACATCTGATCAATTTACTTCTTTTTATTCATGATGTACATGCAGTGGCAGCTGAGTGCAGAGTGCATGTGCTCCCCACCCCCCCCCCCCCCCCCCCCCCACGGAAAACATGAACAAAATGAAACAAATCTTGTGATTGGTTAAAAAAAAGAGGGGGAGGGGGGTGGGAGAAAATGAAAAGAAAACACTTTGACCCCACTCCTTCACCACCCTTCTAATTAATAACCTTGTTAATTTGCATTTCATTCACCGAGTAAGAGCAGTGCCCCCTCCATGTTTGGCCCCATGCTATGCCACTCTAAACCAGTTATAGGCATGCAGTTGGTATATCAGCCACTAGCTCTTGCAAGTTGCAAAGGATGACCCATGTTGATGTCGATAGTGTAACCTTTGCATGATGAATTTGAAAGGACTAACCTAACCAGTAATACATGATAAGGTTCCATCTTACATCATTCTGCATGAAGCTGTTTGTGGAACTGTCTCCAATCTTGTGATATCTTGAATAACATCTTGGATTATGTTTTCTCATGACAGCCAATTGAAGGATGCAAACAAGAAGCTGGTAGCTGTCAAGCGAGACCAGCAGACTCAGAAACGCAAGAATGCTCAACTCCTGGAGGATTCTAGGAGAAGAGAGGGAGAGCTCTCCTCAGATACACACCAGCTACAGGTAAACAAGAATCTCACATTATTCCATGCTGTCATGTAAAGCTTTGGCAAGCATGAAACGCCTGTCATTTTTGTGAGTCACAAAATGATGGAATTTGTTATAACACTGAAATTGTTATATTCATGATATAGCATTTTGCTGTCAGAATGTCTGTTATGAACAACTTGCAAAAGTTTTTGGCATATGCAAGAAAGCCATAGAATGCGTTCTTTTTCAGCATGAATATAAATATACTTTAATTTGCAGTTAAGGGAAAGAATGAAAGGGGGAAAATATCCAAGAAAGGCAAGAATACTAGTTTGGCAGATTTGTTATATATAGTTTTCAAACATGTAGGTATATGAAATAAGAATTAATTAAATTGTTATCAAATTTTCAATATCAATCATATTTAACAATGCTGACCTATACATTTGCAGTGTATTTTTGATTGCCCATCACAGCTTTAATTCACAAGCTTGAATTTAACCTTTGACCTTGACAGGATATGGTGAAGGAGAAAGAAGATCGTGTAGAGGAGTTGGCTGAGGCTCTTAAAGAAAGTGTGACGATAACGGCAGACAGAGAAATGTTGATTGCACAACAGACCGAAGCCGTCTCCAAGCTGAAAAAACAGGTCTGTCCATGCATCTTGAACGACATGATTCATGAAAGATAATTTCATTGGTCTATTGAGGTTATCCTATCAATTTCATCCACATATCAGAAATTCTCTCAAGACTAAACCTAGTATTCTAAATTCTTATAAATGCTGAGATCCCTTACTGGAAATTGAATGTCAGTTCCCATTGGTCTTGCAACTGAACAACATGAACTTGTTTTTACTTATTTGTGGCGTATGAAATTGTTTGTTGTTCTTTAGCTGCTGGGACTGATTGGAGAATCGCTTTAGACAAAAAAGATAATAATCCCAATGAATAATATATATTTTATTATATACTTGACCAGAATTGTAATTTTCTCTGATTTGGGCAGTAACAATATCTGTCAAAATGGTGAAATAGCAAATTTTGGCACTATGCTCTGGTTGTAAAATATGAAATATGACTCAAGTTCCATCAGAGTTTTAGCAGTGTGTTTAAAAGTACAGAGTCCAATTTCTATGTAGTCATTAATGATTACCATTTTATATAATTCTTAGTTAGATATTCTAGATTACATGATATGAAAGGAATTGCATGTATGAACCTTCAAAGTATTTGGAATTAAAGCTCAAAGAAGTGAAATCCCAAATTTTGAAGGGCGCCATCTCTGTCCTGTTTATGTCCAATGGAAGTGTTGAAATGTATAGTGTCACAATGGGAATGGGATCTTGTCCTTTAAACATTCTTCAGAAATTAAATGTTTTATATACGGCTATTATTTCAATTCATCTACAGTTGAAGAATTGTGTTATATCAAGATGTTACAACAAAGATCTGTGATGTCTCATTAAAAAGTTTTTGTTCTTTTCTTTGTTCACATGTTATTTTTACCAAGATAACTTATATTTTTCAAGAGTGGATTTGTATCACTAAATTTTAGATCATGCTTTCAAAAAAGTGGAAATTAAGAAAATGAATCTCTCTAAATAGTGAAAAGAGAGAATAAGAGATGTGGCAAATTTAACATTATCAAAAGAGGGACAGTATGTACATGTTTAAATTAGCCATTTGAATACAAGAAGTGAATCATTATGCTCAAGGCCTACTTACATTGTGCTCATTTAATACAGCTCTTGTCCATGAACAACATCAATGAAATATTCTTTCTGGTCAATATTAGTATCTTATGAATCATAGCAGTAACATCTCTCCTGACTGATGTCTTTTGATTCTGATCCTCCACACATAGCTTGAAGATGTAAGGAGAGAACTGGATGAAGTAAGGAAACAACTGTCTATGGCCACCAACAAAATTGCTACAACTCAAGTCCTTCTCAAAGAGAAAGAAATCAAACTAAGAGCTGTACAGGCGGAGGGGAGGAAACATCTAGAAGAGACTCTTTGTATGAAGTAAGTTCATAATGCTTTAATAATCAAACAGCACCTGATAAAAGGATCCTAGGCCTTACATTTTCATTTCTCGTCCAACCCCATGTTGACTGATAAATAGGAAACAATCTTTGATATCGCTTCGTTACATGAATGATTATTGTGAATCCATTCAAAATAGACCTACCGGTAAAAAAAAATTCTTCACCACACCACCTGACTGATAAAAAGGACACAATCTCCTAGTTTGATATCACTTTGTTCAATGTTACATGAATGATTAGTGTGGATTATGGGCCAATGGCACTTAAATAACCCATTGCCTACTGGAACCTTGTAACTCCTGTATTAAAGGTAAAGACCAGTTTTGGAAACGCCCCTCTCTCAAAAAATGAAATGGAAGCTCTTATCACCAATCGTGTGAAAAAATATGTTTTGACTAATATGTGAAGATACAAATTTTGCCGGGAAACCGCCTACTAATTGATATATTTGGTAAATTATTATATCTATTTGGACTGGATAAATATCGCGCACATGTTGCTTGGTCCCATATACATCTTTCTGTGTACAGTGCTTGTAACTTTACCAAGACTGGGTCAAATTTCTTGTCATTTTGATGATTCCAGAACCTTGTAGTACACACCAATACCAGATGATCAACCTTTTCTGATCGATTCCACAACGTTTCTTTCACAATGCAATCGCATGACCAGAACTGGTCTTTAACTTTAAGCCTATGGGAATGTGAGAATCCAGTTGTCACTGGGTTAAGTGGAGATATTCCTCTGCTTTTTAGGGGAGAATTCCAATGTAAGAAAAAGGGTCTTTACCAATCAGATCCATGTTTTTGTCCTTTGTCCAAAAAAATCAAATACCTTACAAAAATTTCTTTAAATTATGTGAGAACAAAGGCTGGGAGTGAAATTCTGACCACTCGATCCAATAGACCACTTGTGGCCTAATATTATCTCGTGCTATCATATGAATTCTTCTAAATTTACTCCATACCATTCATGCGAACTCCTCCCTTGTCTTTCTCATTTGCTGAGCTATTATCAGCACGTTCTTGTCTGTAACATCTGTGAAAGAGGGGAAGATGACAGATTATAGACAGATTGTAGACAAAGACTTAAGAAAGAGGTGTTATCAAGGTGTGATGCTATGCAGTTTAAACACACCTTGTCAGCATACCTGAGGTGATAAAATATTGGTATGTCACTTGGAAACACCTGGTTCTTTTTTCACCTGTTACATGACATATGCAGCACAATATTCCCATGATATGCATGTATGAAAGCTTGGAAGCATATCTTTTGGACTACGACATTCCTCAGGCATTGGCAATATCACAATTTATACATCATACCGTGTTAGAATTCTTTTAAATTCCTGATGTACCTTAAATTGTGTTATCATAAACATCATGTATGAGGTCTGATTTTATCAAGGAGTGGAAAGTAATCAAATCAAAAGATTGTAAGGGCACAGTGTCACTTTGAAGACTTTTGATTCAAGCGTTGTTCAAAGATGTCTTTGATCTGGTTCTATATCCATGCCAAGATGTAGGTGGAGTATGATCCTAAAGATATATTTCCAACAGTGTTGGATAATTTATCATACCTGACTTTGTACGTTAACTTGTAATACGATATTTCAAGTTTTGACCACTAAACAAGGGGAGAGGAGTAAAATTTATCTCCAGTTTTGAAGATCTTTGTGTTCAGATTTGAAATGCATTTTCAACATATTTTATGAGAATGACACAATTAGGGACAGGAAATTAATGGACGGTGAAAAGGGCAAGTGGTTTGTAGTGTATAATGAGAAGAGGATGAAGATATTCATGATTGAGGAAGCCATTTAGTAACATGCTCAACATTACAGAGGATGCAGTCACTTGGAGTATTGCCTATTTGCTATTATAATGAACAGAACAAAACAAATGATAGCTTGACTGTCTCAGCATATTACTTTCTTGTGATTAATGTACATGGAGTTAGCTGCCCGGCTTTTATTATGCCTCCGTTACGAAGTAGCCGGAGGCATTATGTTTTCGGGTTGTCCGTCCGTCCGTACGTCCGTACGTCCGTACGTCCGTCCGTCCGTACGTCCCGTTCTCGTGATCGCGTTATCTGAAGAACCGATTGATGGATTCCTGCCAAACTTTGGTCATGTATGTATCTTGCAGAGCCGATGAACTGATTAGATTTTGGGGTCACGAGGTCAAAGGTCAAAGGTCACAGGGCTCATTATGTATGCAAAAACAGCTCGTGATCGCGTTATCTCAAGAACCGATTGATGGATTCCTGCCAAACATTGGTCATGTATGTATCTTGCAGAGCCGATGAACTGATTAGATTTTGGGGTCACGAGGTCAAAGGTCAAAGGTCACAGGGCTCATTTATGTATGCAAAAACAGCTCGTGATCGCGTTATCTGAAGAACCGATTGATGGATTCCTGCCAAACTTTGGTCATGTATGTATCTTGCAGAGCCGATGAACTGATTAGATTTTGGGGTCACGAGGTCAAAGGTCAAAGGTCACAGGGCTCATTATGTATGCAAAAAATAGCTTGTGATCGCATTATCATTGGAACAGATTGATGGATTCCTGCCAAACTTAGATCATGTATGTATCTTGCAGAGCCAATGAACTGAGTAGATTCTTGGGTCATGAGGTCAAAGGTCAAATGTCATGGGCTCATTATGTATGCAAAAATAGCTTGTGAACGCATTCTCATTAGAACTGACAGATGGATTACTATTTAACTCAGGACATCTTGCAGAGCCAATGAACTGAGTACATTTTAGGGTCATGAGGTCAAAGATCAAAGGGTCATATATGTATATGAGAAATTGCTTTTTGGTTTGTAAACTTGCTCTATGACGGAGGCATCATTTTCGACTGCGCGCAGTCGAAGTTCCATCTAGTTAGTGATTGATCAAGGTCATTCTACATAATACATTAAACTGATATCAAGTCTGTAAGAAAGTCGATGGGATGAGAATAGTGAAGATGAGAGGAAAGGGGTGGGGTTGGGTTGGCAAAGATCACATACGATGGGTGATTGAGTGATTTTATTTCATCAGGGATATCGACTAAATCTTATGTGGGTATCCAAGGCACTATAATACAGCTAAAGTCTCATTCCATTCACTAAGCACTAGGGAATCAATGTCTTCCCTTAGGAACACTGAATCTCTGGTTGCATTGTGACAAACGAGGATGACTGACTGTCAGGCAATTACTCTGAATTTTCAGCTACAATCTCATTCACTTTTAATGAATTTCATAACTTTTTTTCTTCTTCATTCAATGCAAAGTTTTGATTAATTTTTTGCCTCCAGGTTGATGAGTTGAGGATTATAGTTCCCTCCAACATAATTTTAATCCCTTTCTACTAGGATCCCGGCCCCCCACTCCGGGGTCGGAATGACCGCATGCGTGTTACCAAAATGTCCGGTAAAGGGGTACTTTTCACGCCCCAAAGTCCGGCTCGTACATACACAAACAAGACTTTACACACCGGACTTAAGGGGTGTTTTCAACAGGAGGGAACATGCATATGTGTATCCTAAATAACACTGAGTGGAGGGGCCGGAACTAGGATACGTACAGAATTTATATCTTTATAGGAATATGTTGGCTCTCCTTCAAGTTGTTGAAAGGCCAACAATACCCAAGTGGCAGTGATGTGTGAAAGATATATCCATGATGTTTGGCAGTGACCAAGCATTAGAGATTTTTTTAAAACCCTGATGTATCAAAAGAACGTTTATCTTTTGACAATCAGTCTTTATCAGGAAGTAACTTGGTTTCAGAAGGTTATAAATGGAAGGCACATCCTTATGTGATTGGCATTGATCTATATGCAGAGATAATAACCATCCCTTGGGGAAAGGAATATGGCTTCTTCTTTCAAAAGTTGTTTTCTTCCATATCTGAATTGTTTTCTACGTTCTCCAGACATTGTATTCATTGATAACATGTGATAGGATCTGTTGAAGGTAAACAAAAAATGGAGGGGCGTTTCCTTCTGTTGGTCATGGACGTAATCAATCAGTGCCTTAATAATCACACCCTTTGATATGAACCAAGTTACCATTCCAAATAGTTTGCTCCGTGAGAATCAAAGCATGGGGTGTCTGGACAATCTTCTCAAGGGCAAGATGTCGTCTGGTACTGCCCTGGCTGGCATAGCCGGACAGTGACCAAGTCCTGGGAGATAAAATATTACATTAAAATACAAAAGGTGTGTCTTATCAGTGAGTTACCCAGCCTTCAGAGATAATGCTTATGAAAGATGATGTGCTGTTTGATTGACATGAATGGATGAATAAGATAAAAACTTTCCCCCCTAAGGTGTGGAAATACCAGTTCTCCATGTCTGCACAGTCTTTTTCTTGTCATGATTTCATCATCCATTATCCATTGTGGAATAAATGATGCTTGATTTGACCTCGAAGGAGAAGTATGATAAAAGTCTTTAAAAAAATATTGTTTGTGTCATACACAGTCACATTGCCAAACTGACTCAAAACTGACCAACAATTGACCAAATCTTTGTGATTTGTTTTGTGATTTGTAATAAGGCAATTTTTATGCCTCCGCCACCGAAGGTGGTGCCGGAGGCATCATGTTTTCGGGTTGTCCGTCCGTACGTCCGTCCGTCCGTACGTCCGTCCGTCCGTACGTCCGTCCGTCCGTCCCGTTTGACCGTTATCACAATATCTCAAGAACCATTTAAGATTTAAACTTAAGACTCGGGAATAGTATTTATCACCATAGGAAGACGATCTGATTAGATTTTGGAGTACGTAGGTCAAAGGTCACAGAGGTCAACTTATGAAATTCCTTGTATTGAGTTTGTTAGCGCGATATCTCAAGAACCATTTGAGATTTAAACTTCAAACTTAAGGATAGTATGTATCACCATAGGAAGACGATCTGATTAGATTTTGGAGCACGTATGTCAAAGGTCAAGGGTCACAGAGGTCAACTTATGAAATTCCATACATTGAGATTGTTATCATGATATCTCAAGAACCACTGGAGATTTAAACTTCAAACTTAGTGATAGTGTGTATCACTATAGGAAAACAATCTGATTACATTTTGGGTCACGAGGTCAAAGGTCAAAGGTCACAGGGCTCATTATGCAAAAACAGCTTGTGATCGCGTTATCTGAACAACCGATTGATGGATTCCTGCCAAACTTTGGTCATGTATGTATCTTGCAGAGCTGATGAACTGATTAGATTTTGGGGTCACGAGGTCAAAGGTCAAAGGTCACAGGGCTCATTATGTATGCAAAAATAGCTTGTGAACGCATTCTCATTAGAACTGACAGATGGATTACTATTTAACTCAGGACATCTTGCAGAGCCAATGAACTGAGTAGATTTTAGGGTCATGAGGTCAAAGATCAAAGGGTCATATATGTATATGAGAAATTGCTTGTAATCACAATATTCTGAGAACATGTTAATGGATTACAATTGAACTTGAATTTGAAAAATTTCTTCCGTTTCGGTTTGTAAAATTGCTCTATGACGGAGGCATCATTTTCGACTGCGCGCAGTCGAATTCCATCTAGTTTGTTTGGTCTTTTGTCTGTCTGATGTCTATCTCCTTGATGTGAATAAGGGTACCAATGATTGCAGTTGTTAGCTTTGATCGATATGCTTATGGACTATAAAAAATAAAAACAAAAAAATCCATGAGTAATAACCAAATTCACAAGACAGGCAAACTTATACCCATCTTACATCAAAGACAAGAAAGACAAGTGCGTCATTCATATAAGGTATATAATGAGAATTATGATTGTACGTCACTGTTTCAGGCTTGAAAATATTTTGTTTGTGTTCTCTGCCAATATGTTTTAAGTATCTTTGCAGACCTTATTTGTCTGTATTGTCTTTATTGTCTAGCTTCAAGCAGAATAGATGCACAACATGTGCATGGCAAATCATCCGATTAAGGTCAATTAGCACAATACCGGCGTTGTGCCGATATCATGCCACATGAGCGGAAATGGAGAAAACACAGAAGCGGTGTGAGCTAGATATTACCCGCTGTCAAATAAATTAAATTATTTGTTCCATCTCTCTCTCTCCAGCCTTTCATCTTCAAAATACATCATGGATGGGATGCGTGTCTTTGTTGTGTGTGTTTGTTCTTCAATGTGTTCATGTTAATGTATTTTCCATATTCTCAAGGTTGGGGTGACAAATACATATTTCTTCAACAATACATGTTCACTTTCATAGCACTTTTTTTTCCGTTTCAGGTGAGCAATATCATAGACAGTCATTTCCAGCACATATTTTGTATATGGCATATATGTTATAAAGTCTAACAAAGATATTCTTTCGTAACATATTTCTTTACTGATGATTTTCCACATTACCCTTTTTTTTAAAGGCCTTATTCTAAATTTCAATTTCAAAGATTTTAACAACTTTTGAATGTATTCCACTTTTTGACAGACAAGAAGCTCTGACTGCAGCCATTGGTGAGAAGGATGCTCACATCGCCCTCTTGGAGCTGAATAGGAAAGGTCTCAAGTCGTCGGAAGAACTCAAGCTTCTAAAGAAAGAGAAGGATGCTCTGGTACAGCAGCTCAAAGATGAGGTAGGTGATGGGAATAACACTAAAAGGAGAAGAAAAAAAAGTTTAGAATTTATTCTTTTCTTTGTTTCCATTGATTTCTCTGATGTAATTTGAAGGAAGAATGTTACACAATTAATGTTAGCTGAAAGTCCTTTTCAATATGTCTGCTAATGAAGGAGGTGTTAATTGCATGTTTGTTTTAGTTTTGTGTGTGTCTGTGTTTGCGTCTGTCTATGCAATTCTTTTTTCTCTTCCCAATCCACTTTTGATACAGCTAATTAAACTTAATACCCAATACAGCAAACTTAGTTTAAACTTGTTTATAGCATACATGTAAAAGGATTTTATTATTGGCTTTGGGAGTACTGTACTCAAAGGTCAGATGAATTAATTCAAAATTTACTTGTTGACTAACGGCCTTCCTATGGGTAATATAATACAATGATTAAGTAGACGTTAATTAATCAATGGTTAATTAATCAATTAATGGTTGATGATTTTTTTTTCCTGACTGCTAAGAAAACATGTGCTTGTAAGTAATCAACCAGGGGACCAACAGCTTTAAGTCCTCTAATGAGGCACTTGGTAATGAGGATCAATGGCCTACCAAGGGGCAAAAGCACATTGTCTTGGTTTCGAACCAGGGACCTCTCGGTTATGAGACCACTGCTCTACCACTAAGCCATTGAGCCTCCTTAAATATGAATACAAATGAAAGTTTGCATCATACAACTTGTATAATTAGTTTCAAAACTTGGGCCATTTAAGGGATGTATACATGTAGGTCATTCAACCTCGGTCATACAACCTCGGTCATACAACCTAGGTCATACAACTTTACAGTTATCTGTTATTGGCAGGTTGTATATTACAGGACATGCTTCACTGAAATATACACAGGAAGGTATGATATTTACATAAGCAGATGTGTAACAATGGATTGAGAATTTTTAATTATAAAAAGAGTGAAATATACTATAAATTTACATTTGAGAAATTTCTTGTCTAAAATTTGTCAACAAGGAGGAATTTGTAATCTACAATGAAATAGTAAAGTTAAAAGGCATGACCTCTATTAGATATATTGAAATGCATCAAAAAAAATGATGAAGCTGGAACAGATGATTTGGGCAAAGGCAGCCATAGTGGAGATCCATTCATTCAATCTTTTATATCTGTCTCTTCTATATTTTTTTTCCATTTTGCCCCTAGTTCACTCTGTTTGTTTCATCTAATTCATTGATGTTTGTTTCCCTTTTTTTCTAAGAAAATGTGTATTTTCTTCACTTTGATATAATAATCGATTGTACAGTACCAATATGCTGTGATCACTTTTCATAGGACATTGACCTATGGAAATCATTTTCGCTGATGCATATTCTTTTTCTTTACATTGCTTTATATTAATTTATTAGCTTATCTATGAAATAGATGAAAAGAAAGCTTTATTGACACAACAAACTTGAATGTAGCTCAATATATTTTTGGAGTGCAGCTCCACTTATTCTTATCAATTATCACAATATTGAAACCTTGATGATTTAATTTATCACCATTGACATGAAGTACACTCTACAATGTTCTGTGTGTACTTTGAAGTCCAGGGGTCCATTTTGTAATTCGATTTGTCACCACTCAATGTTAATTCACATCAAATTAGGTGAAAACTTGTTCCTGCACAATAGACGGAGCCAGTTTCTTTGAAATTCTTATTAGAAAGCAGTTTATTGCTGACTGATGGCCAAACCATAATGGCTTTTTCAGTAATGCTAAGAAAATGTTGAGGGGCTTTGATGATCTTTATATTTAATTATCATTATACATATATGTATGTAATTATGCTTGCATTCCAGAAGTCACAATTGATTTAATTCTTGAGGCTGATAACATAAGGGATTTGTGGGGGGAAATGGAACTGCTGTATAGATACATTATTCTTTTAATTGAATAACTCCATAAGTGGCCAATACCTGGAACCAGATAATGTGAGTTAACTTGATGTGCATCACAGAATATCATCAATGTAGTCAAGTTATATTGCTGAAAAGAGTGAGTTAATACAATTATATTCCTCGTGAATTAGTAATACTGAATTATTTGGTCCTTTCAGGTAAAATCAGTCATATGACACTCTAGTCCATTGAAAGACTATAGGTTATGCTCAAGTCCAAAGTTAAAACATCAAATGGAGAAGAAAAAATACAGTAGTGTCAATGTTTCAATCATATCGGGTTAATGTTATGTAGATATGATGAATGGAATAATGAAATAAACCAGAGGCAAATTCTAGGCCAATTTTGTTTGCCAATTCGTCCTGAAACCTTTTCCTTTTCTTGGCCAGAAGTACATATAATTGTAAATTGTCTGGACAGTCATTGGTGCCAGTAAGATGGAAATACTCTGCAATCTTAGGACTGCATACATTTTGATTTATTGTACATCTTATGCTCCTCTCCCAAACTTGCTTTTTGTGGAACAAGAAATGGAAAACTTGTTTTCATCTTCTTCTCGATACGCTGTTACTGTTGTTACTTATTTACATTTACTTGATATGTAATCCAGGATAAAGATTGAGGGTAATGACAATACTGTGATAAAATCAAATAATTCACATCTACTGTCCTATGGATCCAAAGCAAGTTAGAGATTTTCATTCAAGTACATTTCACTCATTTCTGATGGGTTTAAATCATGATATTTCTTGGACTTATTTTTCATTGGTTTGAACCAAAGAAATATGGATGGAGAAGAGGATAGATCAAGACAGTATCATGGTGGTCATAAATAATTCAGATGTTTTCACCAAAGACATGGCATGTGTCTACATAGCAATGTTTGATCCTTACATTTGAACATTCAATCAGTTGATACTCCCTCGAGGACCTATCCCATGCACAACACACAATCCAATAGAGATTAAAAAGGGTTAAAGGGATCCGGTAACTTTGTCTCACATTCTGAAACAAAATTCTTGATTTAGCTCATGCTGCAATGATAATTATAAACCTTTAGGTCTGTCAGGAACTCCATGACTTTTACAAGCCGATCACCTGTCTGATTATCAAGATATTAATGATTGGAATTACAAATTTTGAAAAGCGTTCACCGAACGGTTTTCATTACACTACAGTCTATTTGGGAAAACGAGTATGGTAAAACCGGTCACTTAAAGGTTTTTACTTTTTTGAGGCACTTCTTGATCATCTTGAAGCGCGATTTTTTTTAGGGCTTCAATATTACACCATATAACAGACACTGGTAACATGTAGGACCGTGTATCTCAGATTTAACATCGATAAACGATCCCTTTAAGGACCATTGTTCCCCCTTTTTTTTTCCTTCATTCTCTTCTTGCCTTTCCATCTTATGAGTGTTTTATATTACGGGCATTTGAGTTGATGATGTATTTAATTTGTAATGATTAGGTTAAATTTCACTCTGTCATTGATCATGTATATTCATTTTAATAGACCAGTTCACTAATCTATTCAAATTGTTCACATTTTGTATATACTAAAATGGAAACTAGTGTATCACCTTTAAACCTGCCAGAGGTTTGACTGACAGAGCACCATCAAATGTATGCAAGCTGTATTCTGACTGTTGAAAAACATTTTACCTTATAATAGATGAATGTAATAGTTTGTGTAGAGACTCTCAGACAAGGAGTGCTATCTATAAATACATGACAGAAGGGCGTATAATTCTATCATTTAACATAAAGTTAACATTCTTCTGGCTTGCAACACATAAGTGTTGTACTGGTCTTTTAACCATTTCTTGAAGTTTAGAACTAACTTGCTATGCCTCCACTTGCGATTGGAATTTCTCGTCGCCGTTCCCTGTATAATCGAAGAGGATTAAAAATTGGCAGTGATGAATCTGAGGGCCTGGGATTTTCTGAGCTGTGAATGCCCACAATTGTTTGCCTTTCCATATTATGCTAAAAATCTAGTTTAAATTCCTGCATGCATCGTGGTCTGTTGGCAAACAATGCTCTAGATCTATCAAGTATCATTATGGATGTTATAAGATCATACATTACAAATAACATATCAAGTCATTACATCGTCAGCCTCTATTGAAGTAGATGATGAGATTAACATTCCAAGAAATCAAATTCTATGCATTTTTTCTTTCATTGCCTATGATACATATCTTGATATATGAATAACCTCACAATAAAGTTCTCTTTTAATGCAAAGCAGTTTGAAGAAAGAAAGTGGAGAGAAAAGATCCTTTTTCATATTTTAAAGGTTGTGCTGAGAATTTTATAGAATCAGGGAAAAGACCCAACCCTTGTCTTGCATTTATCTTCAATTTCTTTATAGAATTTACTCACAATTATGACATGAATCCACAATCTAAAGATTCATTCATTGTACACTGTTGCTCATAACGGTGGAATATTTTTTTTTATCCCAATTTATGGAATTATTTTAAAAATAATTTAAAAATACTAGATCTAGATAATATTATACAGTCTCAGATTTTATTGAATAATAATTTGCCAATATGTGTTTTGCGTGACTGCTAAAGCATGTATATTATGCTACTATGTTTATCAACTAGGGGACCTATGCCCTTAAGTCATAAAGGACAGTAATGAGGATTAATGCCTCACAAAAGGGCTCTGATATAGCACATCGACACGGTGTTGATCCTGGGGCCTCACAGTTACGAGGCCATTGCTTTGTCACTGAACCATGACTGTACGCAGCGGGGGCTATGGTAGGGGGCAGTTTCCATAAATTTTTAAAAAAAACAGAAAATGCAATAAATTTTCAATAATTTATTGCATTCTACCCCGGTCCCCAACATAAAAAATCCTCTGGACGGCCATGCATTATGGCTCAAGGCATGGGCACACAGAAGATTTGTTTAATCAAAAACCAAGCTGTTCAAAACCTATGGATTGAAGGACTCAGTGTCAATTTCTCACATCTGTCTTTTAAAGGTAAAGACCAGTTATGGTCATGCGATTGCATTGTGAAAGAAACGTTGTGGAATCGATCAGAAAA